TACGAAAATCAATAATTTAAAATGAAGACAGTTAATTAAAACTAACGGAAAAAAAGGAAAAAACAAATAATAATCTCATAAATTAGACAAATCCGGAAAAAATTTTTAAGGATGTATAAATGCTTAAATTTTTTTAAAAATTAAGTAAAGAAAGAACCTACGTTGTAATTTTAGGGGGATTAACAAACCAGTTTGGTCTTTTCCAGATTTGTTTGTGTATCTCCAATAATTCTGAATCGCGCGCGTAGCGCGCGTAGGAAAAGGCTAGTCATAAGAAAAAGCGACTACAACACTGAGTAAAACTTCTGGTAGAAAATGAACAAGCCAGAAGATTCTGATCACATCAATCATCATCAATATAGTCGGATTCTTTTCTCACCAGTAGACCACACTAAATATTACATCGCGTTGAAAAAGAATCAGAGTGTGTGCTAACAAATTTTTATTCTTTTAATTTATTATTAAAAATTTTTTTAAGATAAATAAAACATTTTTTAATTATAAATAATTGTGTGTGCTATAAAACCCTTAGAAACTAACTATTCGTTTTATATTACGACATTTTTTTTAATATAAGAAATGATTACTAACTACTTATTGTTAGATCATTACTGTGAGTAAATTGAAAGAAATATATAACAGTATCATCTCTTTCTCTTTTTTTGTGTCGCGGGAAATTGAACAATAAGAAGCGTGAGTCCGAGACATGACATCTTAATTTCGCATACAGTTCGTCAGAAATGATTTTCTTCGGGAAGTAATTCATAGCATGAAGCGTGCACTATGACATAAATAGTGCCTCAAAGTCGTCTAACTCTTTCACAGTGAGCGGAATTCATCTAAAGTTTGTTCCAAAAAACGTGCTTTCTCGCCGAGAATCGTTTAATAAAAGCAGCGAGTGAAATAAGCCCTCGCAGTTTTAACGATCATAGTTCGGAACCAGCTGCCGCGAAATTATGGAAAGTCAAACTATCCCGGGGACATAATTTCTCACACAAACAAGAGTCAACCTTTACGTTATGACCATAGAAAAGATTCATGGTTCAAACGAATGTCGTTGAGATACAATTCTCGAAATTTATCTTTCCTGACAAAGAGAAATGTTTAGATAAACCGCACGCTCTTCTAGCGAACGATACATTAAGATAAAAGTATTACAAAGATATACAATAGGTCAAACAAATTAAAGATCGATAAACGTAAGATAAACGCAAAATATATTATTAAAGTTTCTATTTTATAATAATGAAAAAAAGACAGATAAGTTTTGTTTATTAGCAATCAATAATTTCACAAAAATAAATAATCCTAATATATTTTATTAGTAATTGAGTAGATTATTAAAACTTCCTTCCAATTTTGCTGAAGAATTTTAATCTTTTAAAATAGTAAAAGGAATGTGCAATATTAAAAATCAGATAAAATATATTTAGTTTAAATTTTCTAAAACGTGCTATGTATGGAATTAATTATACGAGAGATCAGCAAGATTTATATTTATGTGTAGCCAAGAAATCAACAATCTTAATTAGTCATCGTAAATTGTACACTATAAACTTTCTACCATATTGACGTTCACTACTTCTATCTCCCTAAAGCAGTAAAGTCGTTAAATTAATATGGCAAACTCGTGTCACAACACGGATGATTATGAATACAGTGACGCGACGCGACGGGATGTGGTTGGATATGATTCCATTCGGCTGTATTATAATGACAGTAGTGGTCGTAAAATAAAATAATATGTTATCGACCTTCCAGGATCGAATACTATTCCCTTCGAAAGAGGACATCAGACATCAGCTAACGGCCACGGTGACCGGCGTGCGCTGCCTCGGCAATTTCAAAGTTAACGTACTGAATCCTACGGTCCTCGGCAAGAGAGATGCGCCTGGAATAACAACAGCCGCGTAGGGCCCCGCGGACACGCGTTGCGCATACGGAAAAGGCTCTCTGACTTATGGCCACGCTGATATCGTGCCGGGATTACAGCCGTACGAAAGATAAAAGCGAAGTTTTTCATACCTGGCGCGCTACACTTCGAAAAATCACGACTCCCCGATAACGCGTCTCAATGCCTTTTGTATCTCTAAAGGAAGGTGCAAAACTGAAGAAGATAAAGGAAGATAAACGAATCTAATTATATTCTCGTGTATTATACGAAAAGAATAAAAATATCTTATTCAAATTGAGGTAATAAAATATATCTTTCAGCAATAAATAAATATATGCATGAGTGAATTCGATTAAATGCACTCAGCGCGTACATTAAAGCCATTGTACGCAAATTGACATAAAAGTATGTGTTTAATACAAAAACGGATTAAACCGTGAAATTCTCAATACATTTTATTGTGCTGTTAAATAAAATCCGTATTTTATAATTCGAAATATTTGTATGTTACTTTTATATACATAGATTAAATCAGCGTCCAATCGATTCGCTAATAGACTATTCATTCGTCTTCCATATTAATTAATAACGATTGAAAATCTACAAATTAAGAAAAAATTATAATGTGAAGTATATGGTATGTGTAAAAATGTTCTGAAAAACTTTTTCAGAAAATTGTTTCACTTGAAAATAAAAATAAAAAGAAATAAAAAAGAAAACGGAAAATGTTGCATTCTGTATTTTCTAAATATACGCACGCGCGCTCTTTTTTGGTCAAACTTTTCAATTCATAGTATTTTTACATTGAAGAACTTTCACGGTAAAACTGCTGTAAAGCGGAGCTGTAGAGCACAGCCGTACGTGACGTTAAAAAGAGAAAACAAGGCTGAAAGCTGTAGCACGTGGCTTCCACAAAAGTAGGGAAAAATTTACTTATGCGGAATCCTCAAAGTTAGCAACACCCAGGGTTTCTGAGAGCGCTGGAAATAAGTTTACGAGCTACGTGAGCCTCTACGGCGCGATGGTGTACCTTCTGCGCGACACGACATGCTGCGAACATGTTCGGCGCTGATTAAGTGTCGTCTCGCACTATGATGTGTATTATGTAAAGTAGATTTAAGTAATTCGAAAGGCAACGAAAGTTGGCCATTCTGCACGCCTGAGCGTATCGAATTCGTCGGCTGCGAGCGAAATCGTAGAAAGGTAATCCCTTCAGTGCGCTCGCGCTCGCATGATATTTCGTATTGTAATACAGCGCAAGTTCTTTCTCACCTTCACCAAATTCAACAGCACTCTCCGTAACGATATTGTAAGAATAAAAAGAAACAATAGTTGGTAAAAATCGAGAAATCTTCAACAAATGAGCGAGAAAGCATTCGTACGGAAAGGTTTTGCTGAATATAAATATCTAAAATCTATAGCTAGATTTATAAAAATAATTTTATATGGATCATACAAATAATTGCGTAGGAAGTTTAACTAGTTGTTAGAATGTTAAAATTCTCTCTTTTTGCAATATTGTCATCAACGTTAAATTTTACATAATTATTTTGATGATGTTTATAATTAAATTTCGCTCGTTTTTTGCAATGCAAAGTATAAAGAAAAAAAAATGGTCTAAATCGAGCGATAATAAGATTTTTTAATTAATAAATTTCTAATTTACACAATATTACTAAAAGACGACATAAAATAAAAATATAAAAAATATATAAAAGTATAAAAATAATATCGAACGTTTCGGAACTCACAGGTCCTTCTAATATTGTAAACTAGAAATTTATTAATTAAAAAATCTTATTACCTCTCAATTTAGATCGTTTTTTCTTTATACTTAAATGTTTATGTTTAAAAATGTAACGAAAAATTTGATTTTATAGAACTATAGAACTTATGAGAAATTAAATGAAAAATTTATTTATTTTTTCGTGAAAATCAGGTCATTTCAGGGATGAAGTTGACTGAACAGTCACAAGATGAACGCAAAATACAGAAAGAGTATTTCTATTTTGTTATAGCATTGGTACACGCAGTGCACGCGAGTTGCATCATCATATGTTTCAGATCGCCTGAAGTATTCCATAAATGAATTTTAGAATCAATGAGACTGGCCAACGACTACCCGAGGGACAACAACTGCAGTTTACCTAGTGCGTAATCTTGTAAACAGAAGAGACCCATTTACAGCGTAAGTACCAAATGTACTATGGCTGTAATTTAAGATCATCTTGTTTTTGTAACGTGTATACAGGAATGTCATACTACATAGCAATGTCATCTCTCTTTCTCATGGTACATCGTTAACGCAAATCTCACCAGTGATGATCGTGCAGGATGTAATTTACTCTAGTAATACGATCACGGCAGTACGAAGATGTTATGTTCTTAATTAGCAACAAATCCAAACTTGGAAATATAAAATTAAAAAATTGACTTTAGATATAGAAAAAACTAAATTGCTGTTACGTTATATATATATATATATGTATACATATATAATATTAATAGAAAAATGTAACTTGTAAAAATAAGAGAGATATAAAAAGAACTATTTTTCTAATAAAATAAAATTAAATTACAAAATTAAATTAAATTAAATACAAATCTAAAAATAATGTTGTTAAACCATCAAAATAATTTTGTAAGAATCTCAAACATGATAAGTTACGCTGTAAAAATTTTTGATATATGAATAATCAGTTAGAACTTCCCACATAATTATTTTAATAATCCAACAAAATTATTTTCAGATTTGTATCTAACTAAAATTTTAGAACTTCAGCAAAATCATTCTTTATGTGCACTTTTTAAAAAAATTTGCACATTTCTTTTATATTCTTAATTTTATTAATTCTTAGTAAATATGAAATATTTACTAAGTCTTAACGTAAATAAGCCCAATGTAAATAGAGAAAATAGAAATATGTAGAAAAGTAAGAAAATAAATAGAATAATACATATTTAATAAAACCACAAGGAATAAAATATAGTAACATACAAGCCATAGATAGAACACATAAATCATCACGACAATAATAATAACACAAGTAATTCATATAAAAAAGAACATAAAATACATCTTTGAATTTCAATCCAACATCAATTTATACACCCTTCTCTTATGCCTAAGGTATCAGTAGATATAAAACCAGAAAAAAAAGAACTCCTAGAACGCGTGTTTCTGACGCCTACTGACGCTCGCGTGGGTGGCACGTGTATATAATGTTGCACACACGTGACGACCGATTAATCGAGGGATTTCGTAATAATGGTTAGACAATGGAACCTGTCCTCTCAAAGTAGGACGAAAACTTCCTCACTCCGGCTACCGTCAGAAAAACTTCAATTAACGATTCATTTAGATTACTAAACTTATATCTCTTCATATAGAATCTCGATTGAATAACTCTCTTAGGTGTATAAGGTAGAGTTCCACTACAATGCCTTACTGATGAGTCCAGTAGTGGAAGCTGAGACGAAACGCTATAATTACGTGATATTCTTCGGAATATATTAAATTAATTTAAAAAGATTTTTAACGTAATTTATTGGTTCACATTGCCCTGTTTCTCTATATTAGTTACTAAACCTATATTTACTCGAGGAACACATATCGCTTATACGTATACTTGAAATAACAAGAGAATGCAGATATGCAGAAATACGGAAAGGAAGAGAATGCACTAACAAGTGACCCAAGCATCTCGTTACGCTAGCCACTATTGTCCGGAAGAAAAGACGCGAAGAAATCAGCGCGGTTTATTCACCGTGAATTATCAAGGAAGATCGGACTTACCTCTTGAACCCAGGCCTGTTGCTTGATCGGCGCATCCGGCGCGATGGCGACTCTTCCGGCGGTCCTCTGTTTGTATTCGTGAAGAATAGGGATCTTAGAATTCTTGTCTCCCGATGACAGGATCAACTCGCGTTCTATCTGTAATCGGAAGAGACAGAGATTATTGTTTGCTTAAAGTAGTTGTCTTTCTAATTTTGCTGTCGATGTATCAAAAATTTGATTAAAATATACGGAACAAAAATTTTTGGTTAAAATATATACTGAGCGAAACTGTAATTTTGTGCGAATTAAATTGTTTAGTTGATAAAAACAAGTATTATTGTTATTTACAAAACAACAATGTATTTCGTATAGAAATAACTAAATATTTTGTTGAATAAACAAACTATTTAATTGTTGTTAAAAATTGTCTCAATTAAACAGTTTTGCTGACACTAAATTTTTTTCTAGTGTGACATTGCTCAGGTAATATTCACCAGATATATTTCGAATATTACGAATAAATTGCTTATTCATTCGTCGATAATTTACAAACAGCTAATTAATATAAACTAATTAACAGACTCAAAAGATTTAGCATAAATTATTGTAATTGGATAATACAGTATAATTATTAATCGCTTACTTGCTTCTTATTATGCTATATATTTCAAATATGCAATTTTTGTAAAATTACTCTCAATCAAAAAAGAGTATTAGTCAAACATATATATTAAAATAAATTACAAAATCGTATATTATTATTTACATCTTCTGAGTTTTTTTTACGCATAAATGAAACTACGCTGGTCTCACTTTTTAGCAAATCTTACTTTCAATTTTTATATCCTAATTTTTAATCTCGCAACTTGTGCAAATTGCTCTTCAGAGGATGATTGACGCGTTAAAGCAAATTAATCTGCTGATAAGCTTCTTTTCTTAGTAGCTCGCGCGCAACCGAGCGCGCCCTGAGAGGCGCGCTGTATGCACCTATTATAGGTAAACAGAGCAAAAACAGACGGATGATATGCAGACGGCCATCGTGCGCCGAGAGATTTTCCGTGCGGCTTTCTCGGTCGCGTCCACGCCAGGCGGAGCATCCGTGTCGAAGGCGAGTTCGCACGCACGCACGGCACGATGATACGTAAAGTGCGTGCACGGCCGCGCGGCGAGCGCGACGTGTGCGTTCGTTGCGTGCGCGTAATAACGCGCTGCAGAGTAGGTGTCACTGAACTAAACTGGCTGCAACATTGCCGGGCATCGCCGCAGCAACGCCGGGCATCGCGCTCGGAAGAAAGCAAGCGTGATGAAACGAGCTACTGCCGCGGAAAATAAATGCACGAGGATAGGTAAGCCCCGAGCATAATCACGCTTGCGGATACGTAACTACGTTCGCGTACGTGCAACTACGAGATTTACTTCCCTACGAGACTCTCGACTCTCGTTCGCTGATCGCGTCGGGAAACGCAAGACGATTCCTTTTAATGATCACGAGCTTGTCATACGAGATAAGCACAGTATTTGATTGTTAATCGTTCTCGCGATGTCCAGCCTTGGACGTGCGGTTACGAATTTGTGTGAGAAACCGAACACAGGAGCGCGAAAAAACATGAGCATTCGCAGGGAATTCCACGCTACGAATGTTAATACATTCATTTGCTTCGAACGTCACCGGTATCCATAAATATGTGATTCTCTGATAGTGTGATGTATCAATGTATTTTTATCATGTATGAATGTATAATAAAACGAATAAACATGATATATACGTTTGTATATGAATGTATCACAAAATACAACTCGACTGGTTTCACATAAATTATCTGTAATTATGTGATCTAAAAGATGAGATAACAATTCACCGTGATTAATGTTCACACAAATGAAAAATTTGCATTAATTTTAACATATTTCACGTATCCCAAATAATTCACTCAAGTTTTTGCATTAATTTAACACAAGATAAATATATTAAAAATTACACAAATATTATGTAAAAGATTTAACACAGAAGTCACATTTTAATACAATTTAAAAACAAATTATATGAAAACACATTTGTGTGATAATATTAACATTTATATATATTTAATGTTAAATTGCTTTTAAAAAAATTAATGTTTATTAAATTCACTATATTTCATTCATTTACCTTATAATTTACGTTTTAAATTATATTTATTTTATGTTTTACGTTTTACTATCTTTTTAATTATAAATTCTTGTTATTTTAAAAAATGTTGAGTTAATTTTAACGTAACGTTGAGTTAATTTAAATGCAAAACATTCAAATAACACAATCATATTATGTTAAATTAATACTCGTGTATGTGAAAAAATCAACACAAAAGTTTTAACAAAGACTGGTTTTAACAAAAATATAAATGTAGATATGTGAAAATAACTTATTTAATTCTCTAAATAATTTATAGATAAATCTGCTTGTTTAAATATACAGTTCATGTGTTGTTTGAAAAAGAAAATAGGTCATAGTTGACACAAGACTTAATTTGTGAATCAATATTAAAATAGTTTTTAATTGTACTAATAAATAAATAATAAAAACGTGCATTTGTGTTAAAGGGTTGGTAATTCCCGCATTTAACAATAAATATAACTAGATGTTTGGATCAAAAATGGAAATAAAGCGACAACATTTAACGTAAAACGCATAGCGGAAATACAGGACGAAAAGATTTATCGGGAAACTTGGGAAATATAATAGCGCAATGTAATTTTCTTCATACGATAACTCTTTTTTACTACATACTACATTTTTTGCTTAATCCAATTTCCAAGAAATAATTCAAATGATCGCGTATTTCTTTTTTTTTTTTCGGAAAAAACCTAGTAGTTACATCGGCATCAGGGTGGTCGATATGTGACGTCACTCATCGACAAGCGCACACGCACACACGCGTACACGCGGCGGTGTACTTATTGCGTCATAAAGCTTGATTATAAAAAAAGCTCGAGGTACGACGGTGTGATACGATGTTTTGCGGAAGAAATAAAGCGTGCTAATAGAGGAACGGCGTCACGAGAACGCGCGTAACGCGGTGCGTCGAGGCGTAAGCTCGCGAATAAAAATACCGATCGATTCGCGCCTTCCGGGGATAATAGGATATGATAGAACCCCGAACACAACTGCACCTGATATTAGATTCCCTTCTACAGCTCTTGTACCCGGCACTTAAGAGACATTGAATCTTTGATAGAGGTCATTTAAGTATGGTTCTTTAAGTGATAATAATCTCGAACGTGATCGCTATTGTTATTCGCTTGTGGACAGATATTAAGGAACCCTCAATCTTGTATCTTAAAGTTTCAATCAATATATACGTATATGTCTTGCATTCGAGATATTCTATAGTTAATTCGATAAAATTAAGTCAATTACAATACATTATCATAAATTAATCTAAAATGTCGACATTTTTATTCAAGACTTTGCAAATTAAAGTAAAAAAAAATTAAGGATTCTTTACAAAAATAAAAGCTTTACCTATTAGTTTATTAGATAGAATTCTCAGCATTAATTGAATTTTTGTTATAAAGCACAAAGCAACGATCCGAGCATGAGAATGTATAGCTACTCTTTCTCTGTCAAAAGAGAATTAATTCGCACAGAGTCCGCAAGCTTTTATACTACGCGATAATTAAAATGCTGTAGGAGAATTGATCACAACGTGACAATGTTTAACAAAAAAGGGCTAATTAACATTAATTCGCAATCAATAGATATCGTGATCGATAAGCGTGATAGGCCGTGTCGCTTTTAGAATTTTCCTCTTCGATCAAGCGAGCCCGTATGCGTACATGCATGCGTACGTATGACGTCACGCGAGCCAACGGTGCGTGCTGTGAAGAATTGGTGATAAAGGCGCTGGCTGAAATGACAAAGACCGAAGCTTGAAACGTTGGATTGGCCCGATTTATTCTCACCTGCGGTTGTGCCGATTCTTGCAGAGAAATGTGGTGTGTATCTAAACGGCTATCGCGAGTAAGGCCCCCTTACCCGACTTCCGGCGAACGGTACGCGCGTATGATGCCCCCTTTGTCTTGATGGAGAACCTCTGAGAACCTTCCCAAGAACAACGTAACTAGCGTACAACGAACTGTTACCGAAGATTTCTCCATGGACCGCGTGCTAATTCTTAATGCCGAACGCGGAAGATTAACTCGCGCCGTTTGTACCGCGTGATTACGCTCAGCTAATTAGTTGGAATTGACTAAGGTCAGACGACGAGAATCAAAAGATAAATCTTGATAGACAATGAAGAAAATTAGAAATTAAAAATGAATACAAACCTCAATGGAGAGATAATAACGCGATAATAATTGGCGGCCGAGATAAAACACGAGATAATGCAATCAAGTCAGAACTTAATTGCTTCCAGATTTATATTGATGGAAAAATGTGTGACTGAATTCGTTGAAACTAAAGTACAATGTGTAGATATTTCATCTCTTTACAAGTACAACTGTCTGTCAGCAAAAATTTCCCTTTGACGTTCCTCGTGGTGGAATTATAATTGAGCCCGGTTTGTCGTGTCCAAGAAATGTAGTATACTTCTAGAAAGCCTAACCGTTTATACCGAATAAAGCGTGACATCGTGAATTCTACTCATTCCTTCTCGTTGTACTTAATTCTGGTCTCTACAAGAAGGCATATCGAAATGCACGTGTGGAATCTCCTTATTCAGAAAGTCGCGTCCGTCGCATCATCTGCACAGCAGGTTGATAATTACAAGAAATTATTAGCGGGAAATCGCCTAACACTATCAAAGTTTCTACAATTAACGAGTGTTCGATCGAAAGCGCAAGCGACGGTAACTATAAATATAATATGTTCGAGAGAAAGAAAGTTTAACTTCACCGACGTGTATCAGGTGTCCTAGAACCTGTTACTTTCGTTTTAATAACGAATTTATTAATGAATCTCAAGTGATTTTCTCCTTAGAGAGCTTCAAAAGAAATAGTCATCTGCTATATTTCGTATATTCAACATATTCTGATATAATTAGATTCTAAATTAATTTTTTTTGGGAGAATTAAGATCTATTTAAGTATTGTAAAATATTTTTTATAAGATATTGTGTAATTTTTATATACTATATTTTATTATTGTACTAATTGCAATAACTCTATTATAAACCAATTATCATTCCATTATTTTTTTATAATTTTCTAAATAGTCTCTATTTTCATTAAAAAATTGACTTTTAAAATTTCTATACAAATAGAATTATTATAAACTTTGAAATCCTTTATTTTAAGTTTATACAATTCTTACAAACATGCGTATTTAAATTTAAAGACATCCATCAATATTTCTGATCAATATTTTTATCAACTTTGATTACATTTGAAATTAATATGCTTGGTGGTTTGTTATAATTTGAATACCACACAAATAGTAGTCGGAAGATCCGTAGAATGAAGAAGACGGAGTAGAACATTCTAATAGAATACTACCAATTTGTTTCGAACGACCAAAGACATGCGCTCTTTGGTCGTTCAAAACAAGTTTCTGGCGTTTGATTGAGATGTTTTGCCCCATCCTCCTTGTTTTTTTGGATCTTGCCTCTTCTACCTGCTATCTGTCACTAAAAAATTCTTTTTGTGATAAAGAATTCAGAGAGAGCTCTTTAAATGATATAATAAACTACTTGAATATTTCAGTATTTTGTCAATAAATCAAAGAAACTTTTAAAAACTGGTTTCTAGAGAGCTGGAAAAAATGGTAGAATGGTTTATATACTTCAGTAAAATGTGTTATTCATAAAGTAAAAAAATGAAAAAACTTTTGGGACGACTTCATGTAAATTACCACGATTCAGTACAGTAAATAATTGAAAATGATACTCTAAGAAATATTATATATCATTGTTATCGATATTATTTTTATGAAAAAATAGTACGTAAGTATCTCTTATATAAATAAATATAATTAACTGGAGAGTTATGAGAACAATAATGAAATTTTATCTCTATTTACCAGACGCGAAATTTAATTTATCAAAAGCAACATATATGATATTCTTCAAATAGACGCTTTAATTTTTCAACGCATAAAACAAGTGAACACGTCAGCCACGACGGTGTATTCGTTTTAATAAAAATTTTAGCAGGATTTAAAAAACCATCGAAAGCGAGTATAACAGAAAGAAAAAAAATTATTACAGAATGTAGATACACGACTAGAATATGAGAAGATGCATTCAGTAGAAGCACAAAATAAATGAATGTTGCGGGAAAGCAAAGATTTAGAACCACCACTGTCTGCATTATGCGTTGCGGCGTTGTTCTTTTTTTTTCGTCTCGTTCTTCATAGTATATACGAGGCGACATGGAACGAGCAAGGTGTCGTGTTCGCCCTCCTACAATAATTAGTGACCTGTTCGTTTAGCGAAGGTGCACTAGTTCCAGTAAGCTTCAAAACTGAGTAAGAATCTTTCTACGCAAAGAGAGATTTTAACCGGTTTCAATGATTTTTAACTTTTATTGTACATATAAATAGAATTAACATTTATATTTATTCTTTTATAAAATTATTTAAGCAATAACGTAAAATACACATTTCTTTTTATAATTTACAAAATTAAACTAACTAAAATTATCAATTTTAGTTAATTTTTAGTATCATTAAAAGCATTTTATGACTCAATTTCATAATCTTAATGGAACATTAATTTCTATATTGCATAATCATCTCGTTAAAAGGAAGAAAGATGATACATATCTATCGTAATTTGATCAATGTTTTATATTACAATGCTATATATTTATCAAAATAGAGAAAAATGATAACGTCAATAAATTGTATCTGTTTTGATATTTATCTCGATCGGAGTTTCATCTGCCTTTAGTTGTTTTATTTATATCGATAATGATCATCATCTTACATCTCCGTATCGATTATATTATCGAGTATATTCGAACGTCATACTTTTTAAATATTAATGTAAATTAATATACAATATATAAGATTTATATAATAAAAATATAATTTCATAATATGTTTTTACGAATGTATTTTGTTTTAATTATTGCATAGTAAAAATGAAAAAAGAGAAGAAAAGAGATAAATTAAATAATAAAAAGGCCTGACACCTAGTGATTACAATTTTCCGGAAAAACGGCGGAAATCACGGTAACGAAGTGATTGATAAGAATAATGGTGCTATATTTCACCGTTCACGTGCATTATCGCACTTACCGGGAACTTGCTGCTGTGAGTCTGCAAACTGGCCGCCTGTTGAGCCTGACCCGAACTCTGCTCCTCCCCGTACAAGGGTGGCATCCTGTATTCCGGTGCAAAGGGCTGCCCGGTTGCGCTTCGTACTTGCCCGTCCTCTGCGACGTTGGCCCTTTCCGGACCGGAAGTCGTTCGCAATGACGGCCGCTCGGCTACCGACTGCTCCCGGTATTCGTCCTGCTGAACGTCTTGATTCTTCTGATTATTCGACACCGGTTTCGGTGGTGGCACTGGTTTGTAAGGCCCCTCTTCATCTGTACAGACAGAAATACATAATCGCTCTTTTATAACGTTTTAACTTCGATATAAGATAACTTATTAATTTAAAATATTAAAAATGTCAAAAAGAAAAACGTTGAAAATCGAAAAAGAAGTTACGAATGCAAATGCCGTAGCGACTTGCATGATTATACATTACAATGTTAAAGTTACGTTTTAGTGAGATTTTTCATACAGCACAATTAGCATTACAAAACAAGAATGAGCAATAAAAAATATGAAATAAAAAAACAATTTTAATTTAAAAACGTAATGATAATGGGAAATCCAACTATTTTATAGTCAAACCACAATAAATAAATCACATAGTATAAAATATAATTATAAATATAATCATAAAAAACATCTTTCTAACGCGTATTGTGAATTTTTCATGTCATACTTTGACACAAAATTAAATCAACGAAGAAAAATTAAATCAACGAAGAAAATATGTACGTGCAGTGAATGCATATTTTTAAAAATATAAAATAAGTAGTAATATATTCATCGCTACGGCGCATCCTGGAGCTTGTGACATAAATGTGTTAAACAACTTATTCAAATGAAAGACGCCTAGAGAGAGAAAATTGCTATATCTATGTATTATACATAGTCTATCAAAAACTATTATATATTATATTAAAGATATTTTATACTCGTAGATAAAAATTTGTTTGTAAATGAAGAACATAAGTTACTTGCATTTAAAAAACCATGAACATTTCGTTCAGTAATATTTACGTAAGTCTATTATTCGTTCAGTACCATTTACGTAAACTTATCGTTCATTCGATAATAAGATACTAGTTAAAGTACATTTATTGTTAATTTAAGCCTATACGCTCGTTAATACATTTTTTCCTCACTCTTCCAATTTATTCCTCATTTTCAACATTTTACACACTAAAGTCTCATAATATTTTCAACGCAATTACAACAGAACGATTGTAACGATATTATAGTTATACATGTATGTGTACTGCGTTATTAATGTCATATTATATTCCTGCTACATCCTAACTACGTCCGCGTTAATTCCGCAGGAGGTGTGATATATTTCAGTGCAACTAGATCGCAATTAAGGTTTCCCTTGGAAATATGGAGACGTGCAAGTTACATTATGAATCTATATAGAAAGAATAATTTTATTAAAGTATTTAAAGATGTATATATAGAAGGATGTATCCAGTAAGTTTTTATATAAAAATATGTATGTATAAATATATAAATAATTACATACTAAGTGTGTCCATATGTATGTTTCTTTTTCTTTAATAATATTATATTTGGTACAAGCAAAATATAATAATAATAAAAAGATATAAAAAAAATTAAACGGATATTTTATTATTTTTTAAATTTGACTGTTTATGAAAAAACAACACAAAAATAATATTTTTTATGTTTTCTTATTGTTATTATTTTTTATTAATAACTAAAAAAATTAAGGACTCAATATTAAAAAATAACAATTGTGTGATATTAAAGGCATCTCCTAACCTAGCATTTCCTACATAACTATTCTGATACTCCAAAATATATGTAGTTATTTTTGGATCTGTATCTAGATAAATTTTTACCGAAGCAAAATCTTCCTTTCTACATAGGTAAGTATATTCTTAGAGAACATGAACCATCTAGCAGTGTGAGATCAACACGTGTCTATGTGTACCTTGGCTTTGATTCTGCCGCCTAAGACGATTCTCCTGCTTAACTTTACGGACGGTAGTGGCCATCGCGTGTTGGCTGACCATCTCTGACGAATACTTTCACAAATGTACTTTGAGTCCCCTGTTTTCACCCTCGATGGTCACCCTAGCGAACGAGTTATCGACAATGACAGACCCCGACTCTCTGTGTTCAACCCAATGCGTGTTGCTTCGGATAATGGGTATTTTTAGATGAAATCCTCCAACCCATAGTCGGAGCCGATCACTATAATCACCAATCTACGATTTAAGATTTAAACTGACGTATCATAAAAAATATACTGTCCTGATCATAAGAAAAGATGTTATACTGATGACGACTTAAGTATGAGGACCACCCAAGACGCGATTTCTTGTACAAATTGAAAGTCTTTTCGTCACACATCAGCAAATTCTTTGTCTTACACGAGAAGAAGTTCCGGCGATGACAGACTGCCAGCTGTCGTGACGAACATGCCGAGCACACTTTACAAAATTACAAAGTTCATTAGTTCTCCTTCATTAAGACGTTGCAGCGGTTTATCCCAAATTAGTTTCGCTAATTTCTTTGCACGATGACCGCTTTACTTGTTAAGGTACACTAATTTATATTTATGGTCCCGCCTTTTTTGTAATTGATGCACGAGACAATGATTTCACTTTAATTAAGGAAACACAGGATGATAACACAATGAATTGAAATGTATGCTAGTTTGTTAACGCAACTTTGGGAGGAATTGGGTTAATTAACATTCTTCTACGCGACGGACTTCCGTTTCACAGACAACCTTTTGTCTCACCCACAAAAATTACATGGATTTTTTTCTCTCAAAGGCCGTCATCATCTTGTCACTTTCACGCGAAAATGCTTATTGTTCAACGCAGCGAAAACTCCTCTATTTTTCATGTGGTTGCGCACGAAAAGAGAACGCATTTGAAGTCGGCTTATGGAATAACTTTCCTCGGTGAGTTTTATATATTCCACGAAAAAGTTCGCGCTGACGAACCGAAATTTCAGCGTATTTGCTTCGAAAAGAAAATTACAGAACGGTGTGTCGATCGTTTTCTCGGTATTTCCAGATAAAACTCCAAATAATTTATCACGAATACGATACTTTAAAATTCGTGCACCGAAATGGAAGTTAATGTATAATGTCTCTCGCCAATTTATCGTTTCCCTTATTTTTCACGAGAGAAAGCTTTTTCTTTGCCATAGCTTAATGGCGACTTTCCTTGTGCGTCCTTTTTCTTCCACCCTTTTTCTCTCTCGACGGTTCTTGTAATATCCCCGATCCAATTTATTCAACCGCTGCCTTGATTACTCGACGATGTTATTTGCTGCTCCCCGAGACTTCCGGCGCTTCACAATAAAACGTATTTCGTTTGCCACGATAATGCAACTTGCCTAGATAAAGAATGCCTAGATTTTTTATCTTAATTAATTTAGATTTTAAGCAAATTTATTTTTTGATTGATCATTCGAATTCCTTTCATCACTTGGTCGAAATTTTTTCAATCAGAATGCACAACTCTCGCGCGTATAACTATAACAGAAATCAATTGGTGAACTGAACCATTCACTTATTCTTCCGAATCAAATCCATGGACGGTCCAATCTTCTTTTTTATTCATCGATCTTGATGAAGTTCCGTCAGTCAACACGGCACATTAAATTAAACCAACGTCCTTTGTAATTCATTCCTTCATCACTTCAAATATTCGGATTACTTTATTCCGATTTTCTTCTCTTAATCTTCTTTTTACGCTGGATGTTCAACTGAATATTAACATCCCTAAATCTACAGCTTTCACTTCCGAGTATTCGATCAGTTTTCTTCGAGAGACGTCGCACTTTTAATGATCTTCCTCGAGAGGACGAGATATCGACACGACGTGATTTTTCCTCAGCAGTTGCTCGCGCGTGGCTCGTGTTCGCGCGAATGCCGAGCGCGCCGGTCGAAAGGAGCGGATTTTCCTCCGCGCGCGCTAGAATAGAGTCGAGCGTGTGTAGCCACCTTAGAGCAGCCCGCGCCGGTGGAGCTCAAACTTTCCATTGAGTGAACGTCGTGGTTCCGCCGTTCTGACTTCACTTCCGGTATCGTCCCACCACGAGGAATCATTATAGACACTCCGGCGGTGGGAGCGAGCGAGACGGAGAGGGATGAACGAACGACAACGGGGAGTGATTGCCGGAGCAGGAGGAATGAGATAGTCAGACTACGAGGAGAAGAGAGAGGGAACGACGTGTGATGAAAAGGGAGAGAGGCAAAGAGAGGTCGCAGGAGGGACCAGACTGACGCACCGGGATAATTTATTCTGTGCTCATACGCGTCCGAACTCCGCGACGCGCATCCGACGAATATCAAGCTGCCTCGTCGCTACCGCGATCTCTCGATCACCGATCGTTAGATCCGCAGCCTGGAGAAACGCACAAATTTACGTCCACGACAAATTTTTGTTCCTTCCGTGCCCGGAGTTCGCTTCAGTACCACAGAAAATCGTGTTTTTCAATTGAACCTTTTCTGTTTCGTGTGAATATGTAAAAAAGAGAAAATTATAGTTTCTCTCTACTTTCCGAACTTGAGATCGATACAGTTACGACTTTGGTGATGGAATTGGAGTGCATGTGTGATTTTAACTCGAAACGCTATCTTTTCTAAATGTATTCGCTATATTAAATCGGGATGGGATCTAAAGTTTCTTAGGTAGATATTTCGCTATGATTTAAGGATTAATAGAAGTTTGTGAGAAATTCTCTTATAATTCCTTTCGTGAGCTTAATAACTTAACGAGGTTACGAAGCATAACGCAAGAAGTTAGACGAAGTTTAATCATTCTCAGACATACTTAATTCAATGATAACTTACATAATTTTTAAATAAAAACAGTTGTTAGCTTCTCTCTCGGAAAATGTTAAAAATATTTTTAAAAGGAGAATTCGAATTTTTTTAATTTAATTAAAAACTTTTTATTTTGCATATAATAAAAAACAATTCTTATTCACTCGACGCATCGCTTCCGTTCTTACGATCCTGCATTAACAAAACTTGCATCAATTACGAGCGACAATTTGAATGGGGAACAACTTTGCATTCAAGACAGCAGTGCGGAGCGAATTAAAGCCCCTGATTCGAAAGAAGAAAAGAAGGAAAAGTCTGAACATCCAGCACTTGCTTTATGGTTCGGCGAGATTTCCACCGCCGGTAATAACACAGTGCGGTGCACGCTGGGAAGAAGAAAAAAGACGCGATCGAAACACAGATTAGTGGTTGCCGATTGCGTAGAATCATTATCGGAATGTGGGGCACATCGAAGATAAGAACAAATCGTGCGGTCTTTCGCGGTGATCAGGGAAAGCCGACGAGGATGAAGAGGCATCACAGAACTTGATTCTACTCGTTTAATTCCTATCTTGATCAAGCCGTGCAACTCAATATCCAAACGCTATTGATTATCGTCTTTATGTGAGATAGCTTAACACATTCCCATTGCACGCTCGATATATTTCCATATCATGTTTATAATACAGAATTAAGCAGATCTTATAATCGCAATTCACGGCTTTCAATTGAAAATAACAGATTTTAATTAGTAATTTCGCGAAGCGCTCACTATCTGATATCTATGCGGCTATGATATACATAAGTATATTCGTACGTATAGGCTACGGTCCATTTTTTTTTATGCTACAAAGTTTCGAAACATTTTTTAATTGGTTAATTAGTAAAATTCTTTCTTCTGATTGGTCAATCAAAAGCTTCGAAACATTTGTGTCGTCAAATGAACCGCATCCATATAGTCCGATGATAATCAATTCTCATATTTAAGATTTGTTAAGCAGTCTTATAAGATTGATAAGCTCATAGCTTCTGAAGATATTACTTAACCCCCCGTTGATCTATTTGACTCTCTAAAATATATATTATTTTTTGTATTATATTAAAAAATTTTTTTCTCTGATATTTGATGATCTCATTTATTAATTTTATGTTTTTTCTTCTATTTTGTAGAGCTTTTTAATCATATTGACCGAGACAATATAATTGTATAATGAACCATAGTACACGTTAAACAGATGAGAGCTTGAAATAAAAATAATCAATGTCTATCACCCACTGAGAAAAAAATTTTCACAGAAGAAATGCTTGATATAATTTTTTTTATATGTACTTTACGAAAATTTTTTAATTTTTAATTTAAAAATTGTATTGTTTTAACACACACAAAATAACACAATTTTGGTTTAGTTAAGCTAACTAAATTTTTCACATATCAACAAAATAATAACTCTATATTTATACCAGCATTTTTTTTCAGTGCTTGTAAATGAGTGTTGTTTATCAGTAAATATTCATAAAGAATTGTTTGCTCCAACCTTGCTTCTGACCTTGTTTTTGCAATTTGATTATTGACGTGACACACTGATCAATATACGGTATACACAGTGGCGTAATTTAATTTCCCAGCTGACATCTCAACAGAACGTAACAGTCGTTTGCGTCTTCGCTCGCAGAACGAGGAAGGTAAAAGTCGCGGCTAAAAAATTTCGCTTACACCCACCTACTCGTTCTATCCTATCTGTCACGTTTTAACTACCGTGATGGATTATCGCCTCGACGCAACGACGTGGATTACCGTCTTCCTTCTCGATGCTCCTGAGATCAATCAGGATAAGAACTCACGATTATTATTGGTAGAACACAGATTTCAGTTACGCCCACCTGTCAATTCTGCTGCTTCGATTTAAAGCACTCTGAAAATTTCCTTTCACATAAATTTTCTCACTCGCCGTGCTCGATCTGGAATCTATATAATTACGTTGATTTTTACACGCGCGAACCATGCCGATCTGCCGGCGGCCGTTACTTCTAAATACGGAATTTAGCATAAAGCTGTAAAGTCGGATGATATCGTACCGCTATACGGGAATCGATTTGTGTGATTCGATCGAAAGTCGCGTTGAGCAGAGAGCCGATGTCGCGCGTAAGCGCTTTATAGTCGAGCGTTTCCTATTTTCTCGGCTCTTCCTTTTCCTCGGCGAACTCGTTCCTCGACGAGCGACGATT